AGCCTTTTGTTGATATAAATTCCACCCAATTACTGCACTGTTGTTAAGCATCAGTCTGTGACAGCTGGAACATCCTGCAGTTTCCAAGACAAAAAAGCTGAACTGCCGTTTTTAAGGGCAAACACGATGAAAGGACGATTTTCTAAGACTGTAGGTGGTGCTCTTGTCACTAGAGAAAGAATTCAGCCACGGAAAGCTGCAAGTGTAATGCCGGTTTTATACTGTTAATATTTTTGAACCAATCAGTCTCGTTGTCAAGATTAGATTACGTTGCTTCTCATCTGTTTTTTTTTTTTTTCCATGTGAGGAGAACGAGACAATATATTCACTGCAGTTCTGAAATAGGTTGCTTGGCTGCAGCATGTTTTCCTATATACTTCAGCCAGTCTTATTTTGGTACAGAATTTAAGTATTCAGATTTCAAGCGATGTACATTGCATATAACAGACAGCCTTCTACCACATAAACATCTAGGCTGGTGCTTTTGGAAGGATTCAGGATTACCATGGCAATTTTTAGGCAGCCAGTGCTGAACTAGGGGTAAAGATTGCTCCTGTACTGCATATTTGCAGATCAGTAGGAAGTGCAGGGATTCAGATGAGCACAGATAGATCCATTTCAAGTACTGCTATTTATTTTTGCTACTTTGCACACTTAATACTTCACTGGAGTACAGTGTATGGAGAAGATTTTGCAGTGATCATGGAAATGAATTGGAAATTTATATGTATATATACATAAGCAGTATATGCATACACAAGCAAAAATGTATGAAAAACACATTAGAAAGGAAATATTTGGCTGTTATTCCTTCTATCAGTTCTTATCCCAAGGCTTTTGGAGGAGATAAGGAGGAGATGAGAAAGAGGTGGTGAATATTATAAGTACAGGCTCTTTTGCTGCCTTGTGGATTTTAATCTACTGAGTAGACAGATTCTGTGTTTCTGTGTCCCAAGAGTCAATGTGGGGTTTGGTGGTTTCTTTTTGCTTTTCTTTTTGTAAAAAAATTTTATAGCTCTTACAATGACTATACCAAAAAAAAACCCCATATTAGAAACATCTGATTTCTAGACAAGTATTAGAAAACCAATTTCTGTGACTAAGAAATTATTTTTGTGCTTGGATTGCAGTTATTCCTGTTGCTTTATTTGGAACCACTACACGAGCGTCTGCAACTACACAATTAATGAGCAATGATAGAAAACTGGTGGTGACCTGAAGTTGTGCTGGGTGGTGGTTTTTAGGGTATTCTGTATGTTCTCAGGGATTGCACACAAGGATGTTGCCCATGAACAGAGCAATGCTCTGTGAGATCCCTCGAATGGCAGTTTTGTGCAGTGACTCAGGATATTATTTGGGCTGTGAAACTTGCACAAGAAGGAAATGTTATACTCGTTCTGTGGGGGTGTAAGAGAAGTCTTCCATTCCCAAGCTGGTTTTGAATCTGGTATTTCTTCAATACTAAACTCTCTGAATAGCAAATAGGGATTATTTGTCCACCATTCAGAAACTGGAGTCAACACTCTGCATTTTCTGAGGCTTCTCAAGATCCAAGTTGGGTTGAAGCATGAGGTACTGGATCATCAAATAATGTTAAAACTAGTTGTCTTTAGGAATGGTTACCAGGTAACTACTAGCTATTGCTTTGCTGAATGAAAGGAAAACAAGTATTCAAAGTGATATCAATCTTTTTTGACAGTTCTACAACCTAAATGTGGATTATTAGATTTATTAGTGTATATCAGCTTCTACAAACACATGAGAAATCTAACCTTTGATTCACTGTTGGTTTTTAACCACTGGAAGTTTAACAGGAAAGTAAGACTTAGGATGGTTCCTACTGTCGATTTAACAGGATTTTAGACAAGACTATTTCGGAACAGAGAGAATTACAGTGAACTGTCCAATTCCTGTTTTTTAATGACGAAATGGGCACAATTTTTTCTCCTGCCTCATTAAGGTAATTCCTGATTTGCAGAATCATTGAGCTTGGAAAGATGCTCCTGGGATAATCTGGTTCAACCCCTAGGCCCCAGCAGGGTCAGCTAGAGCTGAATTCCAGGACTGACCCTACCCGGGTGTTGAATGTCTGCACAGATCTTACAAACATCTCTGAGCAAACCTGTCCCGGTCTCTGGCCAACACTCATTCTGTGGCTGGTGTGCACACTGGCTCGTGTGTATGCAAACTATAAAGCATGTAAAACTCATCTGGCCACTTTTTAGGCATCTTCTAAAATGGTTTTAGACAGCATTCTCCCAAGGAGAAAAGCGAGGAACAGAAGTGTGGCCAAGCATCACCTCGGTCTAAACTCCTTAAACCTGTGAAAATAGGACCAAAATTTAACTACAGATTTATGACTCCCTGTTTTTCTTAGTCACTAGATAATTGTAATGAAAAAAAAAAAGTTTAAATCCAACTGAGGGTTAGCTGGGAGAGATAATGAGAAATTCCATTTAAGACTAGTTTAATATTATAAAGGAATCTTGATAACATTGGTAACTTGAACTGCTCCTTCAATACTCTCAATACTCTCTACAACGTTCTCTAATTTCACACTGGTATCTCTGAGAAATGTTGTTGGGTCTGAGCAGTGAGAGGTGGTGCAATGATACAGTTTTAAAAGGGTTTTAGAAAGAAATCAATACAGATGAAAATAGTGGTAGCTGCAGAAAGGCTTCTCCATCAGTGGAATGAGTCCTTGGTTCTTGTTAGGGGAGGGGATAATTTGTTTTGTGACTTCACTGATGCAAAGACAAAACGAAAAAAGGAACCCAAGGATGAAAATCCTAAACTGTTCAAACTTTTGATATGTGAGAGTAACTGGTACTTAGTAATAAAGAGAAATTGGTAAAGAAAAGAGAAACACTGTACCAATATTATTTCTTTATTTATTTTTATTCCTCAGTCAGGAGCATTCTGGAAGCACTTTGACGTGTCTCTGTCTTGCAGTTGCATTTATTTTCATTTTGGTAAACCCTAAGGTCTTTTATTTTTTGCTTATCTCTAAATCCTTTATTACTACTCTCTTTGAAAAAGTGTCTGAGCAGAAGATGCTTTGAGTTACATGAGCACTAGTGACTTTGATAACAAGATTTGCAGTATTTTCAGTAATACAGGAGGTTTTCCTTAGGCTTTTTTAATACTTTACTTGCTGTTTTCATTAGTTAGGTAGTGAAAAGATTTCCTCATGGAAATTTCCCAATGAAAAACGAGCCTTTTTCTCACATTTTCTGATGATTAAATTGGCATAGCAAAGTACATATATGTGTAACCTAATCACCTTTGCCTTTTCTGTACCCGTGTGCAGTCCAGCTCTGTATTGCATCCCTCTGAATTGGCACAAACTTGGTTCTTAATCTGCTTAAAAAAACTGTGCCTGCTCATAACCCACTTAGGAAATGCTTTTTCCAAACCGTTGTTCCTTTTAAATGCCAAAACCTTAGTGCCAAAGTTTTGGCAATGACCAAACAACAACCACTGATCCCCACTTGGTGTTTGGATATCCTTGAGCAGTCCTACTTTGCCAAACAGTGACCACTGATCCCCACTTGGTGTTTGGTGCAGCCAGCTGGAGATCACAGTTGGTGAGGCATTGCTGGAGTGCTTTCTAGGCCAGATGAGGTGTTCCTATGCAGCAGTAATATCTAATTCATATAGAATTTTTAGTGATACATTTGTAAGGAAACTTTTCCATGAGAAGTTTGTGTTGTCTACTGCATAGGTACTGACAACCACGTGAATCTTCATCCCCAAAAAAACCCCAGGGGGGATGTGATGGGGAGGAGGACACACAGTTCTTCTGCCAGACTCAGAAACTACCTAAAGCTCCAAAATATCCCAGATTAAATGTCCCCAGGACTGAAACAGGCTTCTTTCTAAGCTGAGCTTTCAAATGGAAGTAAATCTCCAGTGGTGTCTCCAAAACTCATGGCTCTAAAAGGTTCAAGCCAATCAGCCTCCTCTAAGGCAGTCTCACAGCTTTTAACCCACACCGTGCTCTCTCCTCAATAATGCATTGCCCTGAGGTAAAAGTGGATTGTTTCAGACGTGGATAAGCAGCCAGAGAAGAGAAGTTAAACATCCCTGCAGAGCAGAGTTAGTTTGCTTTGGTTTTCCTTTTTCTCTGGGAAGAATTACAAGTTTTCTGTATGAATAACATCCATTACCTATTTAACCCTTTTGCCAGGCAGGCACGTGGGGCTGTGCAGAGCCCAGCACACCAATCCATCACACTCACCAGAGAAGGGAAAATTCATATAAAAGCCAGCGACTTCAGGGACTTGTAATGGGTTTCAAAGTTGGTTTGGCTGCCTGTGTGTGTCAAGCTATTTGTAATCCAACAGCCTGAACCACTAAACACACGAAGGGGACATGTACTGAACCCATGCTTCTTTTTCCTTTTTGTATCTTTTTCTTAGACTATTCTACCTATAGAACTCATGGAAAAATTTATAGGGCAAGGTTTAATTCACAGTGTTTAGCAGCTGGCACCTACACAGACAGAGTTTGTGTACAGCCAGAGCAGAAGAGTGCAAAGCAGAAGCTTCAAAAAAATACATCATGGGCCTGCTCACCACCCACAGTTTTACTGGGCAAAGCTCAGCTGCTGCTCCCCATGACTTGTTAATGAAGACACAGCTGATAAAACATTCCGCCTAAGCAGGAAATGGGAGCTCTTAAAACAACTTAATGAGAACAATGTGAAAGACTAACTCACAGACTACACTGAGGGTGGAACAATTAGAAAACCAAACAATACCTGTGAAGTTTCAGGAAAGCAAGAGGATCAAAAATTGATTTTTGGCAGTTCCATGCAGTGGTAACACAGTACACCTCTACTTAGCTCAAAGATTAGAATAATCCACTTAACTGGAGCAAACCCGAGAAACAACCCTCCATGAGCCACTTATTTTTGTCTAGCAAAATTTGTCTTACAAAGGTTGCAAAAATTATGCCCAGATACCCTAAAAATCAGTTGGGTTCTTCTATTCTGCCAGGGAGACTGGTGATTATTTGTGTGCTCTTCTGACAGTGACCTCTGCGAAGAAGCTGACTATGACCAGCAAATCTTGGTAATTTGGGGGGAGTAAATTAGACTTCCAGAGCCAAGTAACTTTAGAAGCAAAAGTCAAGGTATTTGGTGTCTGGAGCTCAGCTGACCGATGGCTGGTGGTACAACCTGCAGTGGATTTTCATCCATTCATCAGCAGCATATCAGGGACATTTTTGTAGGGTCAGGAGTCTCCACAAAAAAATATGGAAGAGTTTCTTGACCAACTCATAAAAGCACTTTTTTCATCCTGCTCTGCTAGGATTGATTTTCCTTAGCAGATATCAGTGAAAGGAGTGGGGCAGAAGAGAGGGAGGTGCCTTAATTTATAGTTTTTGCTTTTGATTGGTGAGTTTAAAATTGGACTTGGCTCACTGTGTTACTGGCATTTTAGCTAGTGCTCAATTCCAGCTTCCATTTCAATTTTCTAAATTATCTGGGTTAAAATTCTGATATAATTTTTCCCCCCCCAAAGCAAAATTCCAGAAGAGTAGTTCAGTAAATCATTGAAGGACCATATGTTTTATGCTTCAATCTAAGTAATAATTGATTCAATGAATTAATTTCTGAAGTATCTCAGTGAAACATAAATTGTATTGTTTGAACTGTTAGTCCTGGGGAAGCTATCATGTATTTTTTAACTTTATAACTGTTTAAAGAAGCCTAATTTGGAAGGAAAATGCAGGACTGTGTTTCCCTCAGTGATACTTTATACAGTGTGACAAAGGGTCAGCTCAGACAGGCATAAATTTTGTATTTTCATGTTATGAAAAAAAACCTGACCCAGAGAATGCTTAAGCAGGTGTTCTGTACCAAAAAATTACTTTACCATGTCACTATACATCTATCTGTCTATCTATCTACCTATCTATCTCTAAGTTATGGAAAAAAATATAGAATTACTAGTGCAGAGAAACTACACAAACTGAAAGAGGTTAGAGTATAAAGACTGAAGGTAGTAAAATATCCAGAGAAGCAAAGAATTGTGCTTAGATATTTTCACTCGGGAATGTGGAAATAGAAAACATAAAACAAACCTTTGCTGCTTCAAGGAGAAGCTTTTGTGTGTTGCCTGGAAGAAGCCACCAAGTGACTGGCTCAGTCAGCAAAAGTTTGTGGTTGTGGAGGAACTGTGGTCACCTGGAAGCAGGTGGTGTGTTCCCTAAACCTTTATTAAGAAATTGAGAAGATGAAGGTCTTGGGAAGGCATCGAATTCCATTACTTGGAACACTAAGTGATAAACTTGGTAGATGTGACACCTTGCTATGTCTGTAAAAATGGCCTGAATCAGAGGGTGGTCTGTTCATATCATTGCAAAGAATATTTTTCCCAATTTGCAATATTTCTTGATTAAACTGTATCAGAGATGGTATCAAATCACTGAAAGTTAAGAGAAAAATTATAATACCTCCAGAAGCTTTTGCCCTTGGTAACCTACTTTCTAATTAAGCTCCAAGTTGAATATAACATAACAAGTCTTTCTGTAGAAGTAGAGAGGTGCCTCTGATGATTAGGAAAAGAAAATTGATTATTCAAAGGGTTCAGTGTTTGAAATTATTCCCTAACATCTCCTGAGGGACTTCTCATTAGTGTTCTTATTGGTAGCATTAAATTATATAAGTAGTCTCTATATATTTCCAATTCCAAGGAGAAATTTAGAAGTTCAAGAGTTTTCACATTTTTGTATTCTTAATATCAACATTGGTAAAAATAGTTCTCTTGCAGGTGAGATGCTTCTGGGGGTAAAATTGGATGGTCACATACCTAAGTTGTCATTAATTTAGGTCATGGCAGTAATGAAGATCTTTTATGAAGTTGCATTAATTTATTAGAAAAGATAAAATTGCCTAAAAGAATCTTAAATTCCTTTGTATAAGGCAGGTTGAGGAAAATCAGTGCTGTACACCGAATTATGTGTTTTGGCTCTGGTTTCCCTTTCCTGGTTTTGTTACTTTATGCCCAACAAGTTGTGGAAATCTATGATCCTGATGAATCACAATCTGTTATGTCACTGATGCCTTAATAGCAGATACTTATGGAAGGTTGGATTACACCTTATTCTAAAAGTGCAGCAAATTGTTCATGGGCTGTATTTGCATTTATTGATACTTTTGAAGAGAGACTGATTATACTTTACAATTCAGACAGACCCAAGTAATGGGGAATTTATGCAAGTAAGATGCAGAGGCTTATTTGGCTTAAACAGAATATATAAACAAATGGTTCCTGGCTAATTAATTGGTTTTTTGCTATTTTTTGGCACAGACCACCCAACTCTTTTTTTTTTTTGGCATAGTGTATTAGCAACCCTGAGCACACTGGGAATGGAGAGTTGAGTTCTTGTACTTTGAGTTGAACCCAGTGAGATGTAGAGCTGTCACCATCCTGTGTCCAGGACAAACATTTGCTTTGGGAGCTCCTTCAGCCTTTGTGCCCTGCTCCCCAGACATCCGTAGTAAATAATTTGTCACCTTGGTGCTCGTGAAGGGTTCTTGAGAGAAAACGTGCAGAAGTGAATTCATGCATCTTTTACTGAGTTCTGACATACCTAATTCCAAACTTCAGCTTCGCAGACTTTCATTTCATTATTGCTAATTGCTCAGAATTAATGAATATTTAGAGTCTCATAAGCAAGAGAGAACATTGCTAGTAATTAAGATGCAGCAGGTTATCTGATTTGATTTTACTTCTACATCTACTTGATAACTTGCCTAAAAAAGTAATTGGCTTGTATATTTTAGCTGTATTTACAGATTTCAACTTGAAGAGTCAGCTCTGATACACAGCTTGGAAGCAGATTTACATCCAAGCTGCCACTCTTGGTTGGTAGGAATTCACAAGTTTCAAAAATCATGTTTGAAACTGGTACTCTCACACATGTTGTTGTATAGAAAGGAATAATTATTTTTCTTTTTTTTTTAAGCAAGGGCAAAAAGAAAGGAAAAAAAAAAACCCTCTTACAAAGGAAAAACAATACAAACAAACAGTCCCCTGGAGCTTTAGTGATGTGCTGGGGCCCAGATAAAGGGCTTTAGTAGAAGGCAGATATATCACAGTGAAGCCACTGAGCTTTGAGATGAGACCAAATGCAAAAGCAAACAGAATTTGGTGGAGCTGTTTCTTGTCCACAGAACTGATCTGTGTGGGCTTCGTTTTCTTTTTAACACGGTGCAAATATTTTAGGGACTTCCACACGTGTGTGTTTGGAGTCTGTGTATTAGGCATGTCCATGTGTCAAGAAGGGTGACCAAGAGTGCACTTGGGAGTTTGTCAAGCCTTGTAGTATTTTTGAAACCTTTTTAAAGCTTTTGAACTAATGTGTTGTTACTAATGGATTTTCACAGTGCCAAGTCCAGAATGATCCCTCTTTGCACTGGGTGCTTTCTGATCCTACTGGGAAAATATCTTAAAAATTAGCACAAGAAGCAAGTGGGTGAGTGTGGACTCTTACATCATCCATTTATATATATGTATTTGTATATATATATTTGTATATATATATATATATATATTTGTGTGTATATATAAAATATATTTGTATACATACAAATATGTATTTGTATATACACACATTTGTGTATACACCCATATATATATTTGTATATACACACACACAGATATTTAGGTTCAATAAAAACATAATTTCCAAAGTAATTTCCAAATTACTCCTATGTTTTTTGCTGTACTATATAATGATCAGAAGGAATTCATGCTTGCAGTCTCTTGTTTTGTAGATATCATCCTCAAACACTGATATGTTTGAGAACAGAGTTTAAATCTGGGGTGGGGTGGGTGAACGACAATAACCCCCTGACCTTCAGCAAAAGGTAGTCTGTCTTCATTCAAGAAGTTTTAGTTCTTGGGAAAGTTCATTTTTTTTCCTCCTCCTCAGACAAAAAGTTCCATGTTTCAGAGTAAAGATGCAGCACTTTTGCCAGCTGTGAGTTCAGCTTGTTTGTCTGAGCCTCTGGAGACATCTTGTCTATACCAGACACGTATAGACATTTAATATGGCTCATTTCACCTCTGAAGCATCAGATTAGAAATTACTGAAGAGAATCAATTTGGAGCAAAAAATGTGAACTGACATTTCTTTTTAATTTAATGATTTTCTTGGTGTTACATAATATCGGGACAGATCAGAAAATGAATAATGGAGTATCAGAAGTTCTCGTTGAAGCCAAACTTTTGTGTGTTTCTAAATGAATATTAAAGTGTTTCATATAACAGGGCACAGCAGATCTTGACTTGATAGTGAGGAAGGGTGGTGGCGTTAGCACTGTGGATGTCACCACATCCCACTCCCCCTGGATGCTGTTACATAGAACTTTACTTTTTTCTGGTCCAGAATGGCAGCAAAGGGGACCCAGAAGCCACATTGCATCTGTGGTTGTGCTCTGAGCAACCCTAGAGAAGGGAATATGACTTGAGGGTGGTTAAATGGGAGAGAAGGATATTTTTACAGTCATTATGACTCCCCATTTCATCAAGCTCTTCTCCCCTTACTTTTCCAGTAGTCTGCGTTAATTAACTTATTGAGTGGTGTGATTCTAACAAAGCTTTCTTTGTTATAGATCCTTACAGAAAAATACAGCAGAGACTTCACAGATTTGAGTTTCCTTCCTGTTGGTAGAATGTGGATAACACGGAGAGAAGTGACTCAGATTCATCATAGGAAAATATCACGTGTGGTAAGTTTGTACTGCTTAAATGTCTTTAAAGCAACGGTTTCCTAAGAGTCACTGTTGAACTGTGAAAAATGTGTTGAATTTGGGCCATGTAAAAGTAATGGATGAGAGCGGGATCATTAAAATAAATACGTGATGTGTGTGCTTTTCATTCCTACACAGTGATCATCTGTATTATTATGTATTAATACACATAATTAACTATACATATAATTAAAATCATTCAGCTGCAGCTATTTTCTCAGTCAGTAGAGACCTGTTCCTACTTCATTTCTTGTTGTATGTTTTCAGTGGTTTTTCATGTGAATAGCATTTTATCAAAACTTGGAGAGAATCCATTAACATAAAAGGTTTCTATCAGACAGAATTATCTTAACAAAGCTGCCTTTCTTCTTATATTGTCACATAGCAAATGTCCTGAAACTGCAAGATATTATTTACAAATATTTGTGGGTTTTGAATGCAGCTACTTGTTGAACACAAGTGAAGCAGTGAAGTTATGTAGCCACTTAACTTGCTGGCAACTCCCATCAGCCATATCACAAACCAGATTTGGGAGAGGTTGTAGATTAAGATTTTTAACGGAGTAAAATATTTAATATGACTTTCCAAAGCAGTCAAACATCGCACATCAAACAAACCAGAAGTATGCAAACCCTTATTCTGCACTGCTAAACTGTGTTGCTGCCTCACTTCGAGTAAAATCCTCTGAAATATCACTTCTTGCACTTTTTTTTTTCCTCTGCCTTGCGTGGTTCTATGAGAAATAAAAATATGGGTTTTTATAGGCATATGGTGAAGTTGTAAGATATCCAAGTCCCGGACTGGGTATCAGGGACTTTTTTAGCTGGATAAGGGAAATCTAAAAGTTCCTAAAAACTAGAATTTTTTTGGATCATGTGAGAATTTTTGCACACCAGGGTTTCTTCTCTCCCTGGGCTGAGAACAAAGGAAGATCCATCACTTTTGACAGAGGATGCCCAGCAAACAATCGAAAGAAAGGGAAAGCCCCTTTTCAGAGAAAAGAAACCTTTTTAGGCAAAAATGAATATGTTAAATTTATCTGAAAAGGGTGGGGATTTTGTGAAACTAAAAAACAGAGAAAAAAAAAGTCTCTTTTTCCCTGGAAACTCGACGCAAGAAAGACCCAACACGTTGAATAAATTCTTCCTTGTTTCTTTGTTCCCTGAGTTTATGCCGTCTTTCTAAATTTAAAAAGAGGGCTATTTCCCACAGTTCTTTATGCCTTTGCCAAGTTTTTATTTCCTGGTTTCACGTGTCCCTCAGCAGTCAGCATTTCCCCTGACTGTTGATGTTCCTCCCTCCCGCTGAGCCCTGGTGTTCCCCACGTGCCATCCCCCGAATCCTGCAGTTCTCCCTGCTTTGGACCCTTGGCTGGAGGCCCTGAGGAACCTGGGAGGGGGGTGATGAACAGCGAGAGAACAAGTGATGTGTGAGAAATCACCTGCACTTGCCCTTTGAGTCAGCAGCCAGCGTGAGCACTTTGGGGGGAGCTTGGGTGACAAATGACAAATTTTGCCTCTTCTTTGGAGAACTCAGCAAGTCCATGCTAATGTGCAGCAATATATCGTGAAGGGGAGAGCCAGCCAAGACCTAAAAGGCCTGGTGAAGTGCTTACTGTTAATTTATTTGAGGAGTAAGTAAATATACGTTATGTCTTTGTTTATTCAGCGAGTGCTTTGCCAGTGGAAGGACACATACAAATCACAGTAATGTTTTTCTTGATGCCTTGGCCAAACCATTGGAGATGTCTGTGGCTTTTTTTTCCTTCCTAGAGGGTCAATCAATAATCCTAACCTGTCATATCATTCTGTTCATCTTAAAAAAAAATAAGTAAAAAGATGCAAGATAAATGTATAATGTATTTATTACACTATTCTGATTTTGATCTCTTTAGTGCTAGGTGACAGGTAACAGCAGACAGCTTTGAAGGGTCCAAATGCCCTCCAAAACCTCAGTAAGCAATTTATGTTTCCCACCTGTTAGACCCTTCCCAAACTGTTCAGTGATAATTGTTTTGAAGGATTAATCAATAGTAAGTCACTGTTGGCTGCTGCACCTGGTCCAAAAGGGGAGGAGGAAGTGGCAGGAGCTGAGGTTTCCTTTTTGGGTATGTTTATTAATTTCTAAGCAGGATGGAATGGATTGGATCAACTTAGCTATTCATCTTGTAGGTTTTAATTGTTAGTCCTTAAATTGTTAACTGTTTTTACCTTACATCAGATGTGTCTAAGCAGTAGCTTTTATGGCAACATAGCAGATAAAGGTGAGACAACTTCATTTCTGTTCTTAGTCATCCAGTTACTGCTCACCATCCTGGTAAGTCACTTCAATGAAAGAGGAAGGTTTAGGCTTCATCTGGGGACATTTGTGTTGAGATAAAATTCCTTCCATGTGGGAGTGCAAATTCAAGCAACCTGCAGTGGTTAAACAGTCTTTTAAACTGGCTTAAAACTAACTTAAACCCAAATTTTAACTGACTAAAACCAAACTTTTTAGCTAACTTTGAGATTGTCTGTGAAAATCTTCTGGAAATTTCTGCAGGTGTTGTATTGAATGCTGTGGGCTTCTTGCTAGAAAGCTATAAAGCAATCTCAGAAATTCACAGAAAATATTATGGACTTGACCATGATATAAGTGGACCATAAAATATATTAATCAAATGTCCTCAATTCCTGGTAATTTCCTTTTCTTCCTAATGCATTATTTATTTTTTGTTTTAATATAAAACTGTCAAGTCTGGCTTATTTTCCACAATACCATTTGTTCTCATCTGAATGATTTTGCTGCTGGTAAGGCACTGGCTTATTAAAAAGCACAGGATGCTCTCAGTAAATTGGTATTACTTGACACCACCTGCTGCTTTCCTCCTAAAATGATTTCTTAAAATATGGTATATTCTTTTATTAAGTCAGCTAAGATTCTGCCTCTGCATCACTTCTCTTGATTACACGTTTTGTTTCCCAAATTGTCAAACCTACTTTATCTCCTCTAACAGTATCATATTACATTTCTCCTTTTCATCCATCAAGTTTGATTTTTGGAGAGAGTTTCTTTGCGTTCCTCGGAAACAATTTCATACTTGGGAGAGAATAAAGCAAAGGCAAGAATAAAACAGTGAGAGCAAGGTAAGGTAGTATCATACCAAGGTATATCAGTAAAGGAAGAAACATATCCCAGAGAGGGTGTGGGGTGGGTGGGTTGGGTTTGTACCAATATTTTACTCCTGCCTGTTGCCCTCATTGCTGATTTTTCTCTTTTTTGATCCTTTTCTGTTGTTCTGTTTCCCAGCTCTGGGCCTGATTTCCAGGTTGGTTTGAGCGTGAGGGTTGTTTGATGCACAATTATCTGAGGACTCTTTTTATGAAAGAACTTCAAAAATGTGGGGTTTGAGATATGATTTCTATATATACAAAAGTAGACCTGCCTTTAGCACAGGGAGTTTTATAGTCAGTATTTAAATGGTTCAGAGGGAGTCAGAGGAGTTTGTGTGTATCTTATCTATGTGTTTTGGCACAATGCTCTTGGATTTTGTGTGTCTAAAGTTATTAAACAGGAAACTATTAGTAATGTCTGATGTTAGAAAAAACCCCAATCCAAGATCTGGAGGGTCTGTCAATATAAATTGTGTTGGCAGAGGTCATTTCCAGCCAGCACTTCTCATTTGCTTTGTGGGTTACTCTCAGGAAACACAGGGCTTGTCGGCTGCTTTATAATTTTATTTTTTTTTTTAACTATGTTATCCTCTGGACTTAGCTTGTTTATACTGTTCTAAAGGGCTTTACCTTGCTCAGCTCTGTGTAGCTGAGCTGATTTCAGAGACAGCTCACTGCCTTGCTTTGATTTCTTCTGGGGTTTCGGCGCTCATGCCGGTCTCGAGGATTTTCTGTTGGACTACAAAAGTTGGAGTGAACTGGAAGAAAAAAAAAGACAATCTACCAGCAGTGTTGTAGTTTGCCCACTGTTCTGAATTCAGGAGGAAAGAAATTTATTTTCTTCCTGCCTAAGCTCTGTACTTGTTTGCAGAGATAACAGCAAGAACCTGACGTGGAATTTTGCTCCAAATCTATCGATGTAAACACAAAGAGCTCCATCGACTTATGTGGGATTTGGATCAGGTGCTTAATACTGGTGTTATGGAAAAAAAAAAGACAATCACCAGGCATGTTGTGAACTTGTAGGAACAGCTGTAGCGAATTTATTTTGCACAGAGTTTAGTTACCTGGAGCTGTGGAGCCAGAGATAAGATTATATTCTCCTCTTTGTTGAGCATCTGAATTATTGCAGTGACACTGGTTCAGGCAAGTTAAGTAAGAAATTAAATGTTATATGATTTCACAGGTATTGATCTTCAGAATGCTTTTAATGATCTGGGTAAATACCTGGGATATAAAACAGCTTCTGCTTGCTCTTGAGGATGCTTCTAAGCCATGAGAGATGGAAACTGAAAATACATCCTTCCTAGTTGCTCTTGCCAATTATGTTCAAGTTTATATGTGTTCATTAATTAACACTACTTTTTTAAAAAAAACAAACCTAAACACTCTCTTGGGTTTACTACTCTTTCTTTGGCAATGTTGGTTAAAAGGAGAAAAATTGAATAATCTGTAAGTACCTGCCACAGACCTGAATACAAAGACTTTGCATCCTTGTCTTTAAGCAAGTTCCTCAAACTCTAACAAAAAAATGAAGAGATAAGTTAAAAAAAAACCAACCAAACAAAGCCCAATGAACAAAAGCTCATGAAAAATAGTTTTGTAACGTACTGCCTATACTTTTGCTGAAATACTTTTTGTTTATATCCAGGAGCTTATTTGGATGGGGACTTTTGATATGCTGTTACGGCTCTTTTAGGTACAATTCAAGAAATAACTTCTAAATTTTGGTGTATTGAACTTCTCGGCAGAAAGAACAGACCAAGTTAGGAATTTATTTGTCTGTATTATACAGTTTGGTTATCTAACACTATTTTTATTATGGAAGTGAAAGGTGCTTCTTTCCAGGGTCTGTTTTAGTTTTATTTCTTAGGTTAGTCTGAGAAGTTTGAGCTTCCTGCCCTAAAGGATCTGATCTCTCTGGTACAGGTTATTGCCAGCTCGTGTGGCAGGGGGGCTCCAGGGCAGCAGGGACAGTCTCAGCCCTCGGGGAGTGCAAGGTTTGCAAGGATGTTCCTGCAACTCACCCCAGGTTATGTGTCAGGATGCTCGGGACAGAAGTGTCTCCATTTCATTCACTGGTCAGATAAGATATGAGCTGTACCTTGGGTGCTCAAGAAGAGGGAAAAAGCAAAATCTCTTGCTAAATGTATATGTTACTCTGACACGTGCCAATCTTTAAAAACTCTACAGTTTGTCTCCTGCCTCCAGCAGATTTCAACAAACCTCCATGCTTACTGTGGTTCAGAGGGTGTTTCTGTCTGCTAACTCACTCTGCACCCACTGCCACCTATTATTTTATTCTGAGGTGAGAAATCTGTCCCTTCAGTGGTACCACCAGGGGCTCTGGCAGGTGTTGATTTGGCACATTTCTGCCTTACCAGTGAGATGATGGAATGGTAGAAAAGGTGAAGCTGCCTTTTGAAAATAACCTGTTCACCCCATAAGAGGTTAAACGAAGAGAGTCTTTCCCTTGGAAATTCTATTTTTGTTTGGCTTTTTGGGTGACTTGACCTTTAAATCCAAAAATGAGAGAAAAAAAATTACTGTTCTAAGATAAGCCCTGTCCATATCTGTGTATTTTGGGGGTTGTGCTTCCATTCAGTGCCTCGATGGGAAGGTGTTGAAAGCTCTGTACAAAAGAACAAAGTCCAAACTGCTGTCCAAGTTTTTCTCCCGCTCATATTGTTGCTGATAATGTTCAGGAAGACACATGAAGCTGAAATATTTCCCGAGCAGGATCTCCCTTGTGGCCAAACTTACCCAAACCAGCAACTGTCTGGGTTTCTGTGTTATCAGTAGGTGTTGGCCCTGACCTGGAGAAAGGGAGAAGCAGAATGCTGACTAGGGAAAGAAATGCAGTAATAATGAAGACTTTAATTTTATATTAGATTCATTTGCTCATCAGCCGAGAAAGAGCAAATACACACACAATCAAAATCCATCCTATAAACATGTTTGAATTCATTAATAAGCCCTCAATCTTTTTAGATAAAATTTTAATTAAAAATATTAATTCACTTGACACCATGCTTGGGTGATTTCTTCCCTCCTTGCCTGATAAAATGCTTGTAGAAAGTTAAGCTTTTCAGAATTAAACTGTTGGCTTAAAAAAAAAATAAATTCAAATTCCAATTTTTCTAACAAAATGAGATTTTTCTAGGCTTGGATGTTTTTGGATAGAATTTGTATGGATAAGTCGGTGCATAATTAAGTAGAAAGAGGAGTGGGTTTTAAATAATATATGCACAGGGAAGATTTAATGAGGAGGCTATTTTTATTAAAATGTTTGTTTGCCAAGAGGTTTAATATTTAAATAAAGCTGGGCAAAAATTAAAGAAACAAACCCCAGATATTTACAAACCCTGTCCTCTCCCCTGTATTATATATTGTACTGTACTGTACTCTGTATTCAGCCCAGATAATATTAATAATCAACATTATCTCCCTAGGGAATACGTACAGCTGAAGTGGGGTAAGTTTCTGGCAGTTTGGTTCTCTCTAGGATTTTTTTGACCCTATTTCTGGACATTTCTGGGGTGGCTGAAGACATGGGCCTACACCTGCCTTTGTTCAGCTTTCTAATAAGCAGAGCACTTATCAGTAAATGCAATAATTGCTTCCATAATTCTAGTGCTCTTGTTTGTGGGAAGAGCTTTAGTTTGACTGAAGCTCCCGGGTGTGCCCTGTCTCACTTCCCTGACAAACACAGTTATGGAATCCCTGAGTGTTGGTTAGTTAGGGGGTTTTTGGGTTGTGATGTGGATGTTTCGCTTAGGTTTGGTGTTGCTTTAGGTTTGGTGGGTATTTTTGTTTGTTTGCTGCTTGTTGTTGTTGCTGTTTATGGTTTTTGGTTGCCGTCTTTGGGTTTTAACAATCTGTTAAGGAGCAGAGTACAAAATGAACCAGGAAAAATCAGCAATTGTCTGCAGCAGTAGGAAAAGCAAATTAGGTTCTTGGCTCTGCTTAGGAAAATAAAAGAGGAAACTTGGATTTCCCTTTCCCTTCCTCACTCCAGCCTCTTATAATTACCACAGCTTTTGTCCAACATATTGTAGAACTGCTTAATTGCCAAAACTCGATCATGCTCTCAGACAAACCCTTCAGGTACTGCTGAGATACCCATCAGGATTAGGACCTTAGTGTTTTAAGGTCCACATCCCAAAATGTTTCTCAGTTGTACATCTGTGCATTTCTGTGTCCCTGCAGAACCTTTCCCCTTCAGTCTAGGTGTGGGAAATATCCCTCTCTTTAAGTTTAGAAAGATGGCATAAACTCAGGGAACAAAGAAACAAGGAAGAATTTATTCAACGTGTTGGGTCTTTCCCACACCAAGTTTCCAGGGAAAAAGACACCTTCAATTTTAATTCCATACATTTTATAGTTGCACAAAATCCCACCCTTTTCAGATGAGTTTCAATGTATTAATTTTTACCTAAAAAGGTTTCTTTTCTCTGAGAAGGGGCTTTCCCTTTAACCCAACTGGCTGCAAGCCATCCCCTTTCAAAGGTGATGGATCTTCCTTTGTTCTTGGCCCAAAGAGAAGAAGAACCTCATGTACGAAATGGCCCAAAAAGATTTAATTTTAAGAATTTTCTCATTTCCCTTATCCCGCTGAAAGAGACCCTGACACCCAAGTTCAGGTCTTGGAACTTGGATATCCTACGACTTCACGATACGCCTATTTATATAAAAAACCATATTTTTATTTCTCATGTAGGGAGAGCCGTGTCTGAGCATCTCCAGGCAGAGAGTGCCTGTGTTCATTTATTGCTGGAGGTGACAGCCACAGAATATATGAAATGCTTTGGTTTTCTTCCGTTTATAAGCATTGTGGCTTATAAGTGCGAGTCTCAGAAGTGGACAAACTGCCATTTCATCGTGCTGTTTATTAGCAGCTCAGTAAGAGCAACATATCCTTATTTAACGCCACCACCGTTTTCTTGAGGCGCTTTGGCACTTGGATGATGAAGAAATCTGTCATGTAAACTGTGCACTATTGTCTCCCACTCATTGGGCTATTATTTTGGATTTATACAATTAGGATACATGCTGTGTACTTATCTTACAAATGTACTCTCTGCAAATGAGTTTTCCTCTACTCCCATGGAAGCCAAATCTGTTCATCTGTGCCTGTGCTGCTTCACACCCTCACTGACAGTTTAAATTCCTTAGACAATCCATGAGATGGAAGTTCAGAGATGATTTTTTTCTATCTTGGCTTCTGAGTAGTGATCTTTTAGCAGATTTTTAGAATCCTGTTAAGTGATTGACTCTGACTTTTACATGGCCATAAATCCGATTGTGATGAATTTTCATCGCAAAAAGGGGGAATCAATGTTAGGTTGATTTAATGGCTGTTGTTCCCAAAGTTGCTTTGTAATCTCTTTCCTTCAGCTGGCTGTGGATGCAAGTTGTTCATTAGAAGTTAGACTGTTATTTTGTAATTTTCTGCCACTTCTTAATGAGGGAAGATATGCCTGTCTTCAGAGAGGTAATGAGAAAGCCACAGCATATAGAGTGAGGAGCAGAGAGAGCCTCTTGATGAATTCATGGTGTCTCACTGCATCTACCTCGAGGGGAAGATGCTCTTGTCTATATATATAAATTAATTCTAAAAGTTCCAAGTTGCTACTTTCATCAAAGTATATGTAGTAGCCTAGCAAAGAAAAGCTGAGCTGCTAATCCATGTTCTGCTTGACCAAGAGGTTGTTTTTAGCCAGTGTGTCTCTCTGGGGAACCAAACTGTTTCCTAAAGAGCTTCTTATTTTGCACCGGTTGTGAGAGATCAGAGATCATATTAAAATACAGTATTGCATGACACTAAGAGAAAAAAAAAATTTTTTAAGATGTCTTTGTCAGTTGTCCATTTATGTTTCGATGACAATTTTCGCTTTTGCTCTATTTGAAATAAATAGATTGGCTTGCCATCAAAGCTTGACTCTATAAAATGAAATTATGACCTTAGTGGCTGATGTATCATTCCCAGTAGTGAAGATGTTATAGGCCAAAAAATACCAACAGCTTCACTGTTGTATTTGTTTCTAGCCCTCAGGTGGAACTTTGCTCAAGCTGAAGCATGGGATGTGCAAGGTGCCAAACTGCTTTTATTCCTTGCTTCCATGGGTTCATTAAGTGCTGTTTTCACCTCCTTCTCAGCCAAATTAAAGGGTCAGTGTAAAGGGAGTAAACACACAGAATTGCTGAGAGTGTCTTTGACTAAAATGGGAGAAAATATGACCCTAAGGTTTTTTGGATGTTAAACCCATCTTCTATGCTTGTTTTTCAGAGCAGAGTTGAAGGTCCTGATGGAAGCAGGATGAATTCAGATGGCTGGCTATCTATCCATGCACCTCTTCCTCTCTCTGGCACTTCAGTGTTCTGTAGTTTTGTGTATGCTGATTTTTACCTCTCGGTAAAATTATTTTTATAGTTGCGTTCAAGATGGCTTTTTAGAAACACATCAGAGAAAACTCTGTAGAACATAATTTTGACAGAAGTTTCACCATGCCACTGTTTGAATAGACTAGAAAGCCATCAGTATTCCCACTGTTCACCTCATTATCCATTAATGTCCAGTCACTGCTTAAGCAAATTCAGCTTCTAGACCTGGATGTATAATCAGTGTGACTCATACCTGACTTTAAAATCCATTTTTGCTGGAAACATGTGCATCCCTTCAGTAAGGAACTGCCAGTGAAATTCTCTGCAGTGCTGTGAATCCAGGGTTTCAAGTGCCTGAAAATCCCGGCATCAAGGATCTATCTGTTCCACGGAGCCGTGGATACAGAGAGAAGTGGAATGTGCTACTGCTCTTTATCAGAGGGTTCCCTGTGCTCTTGGTGACCGCAGACAAACAGGAAGGAAATCCCCAGGTATGGGTGAGAAAGCAAAATGATTCCAGTAGTTCATCAGCTGGGTCTTTTTGAGAGAAACACGCCCCTCGTTTTTGTCAGGGAACACAAGTGTGTTGGCAGCTACAGAGAAGGGTCTTTGCTAGACAACACAGCTTTAAACAGATTTAGGTGCATATTATTTCACTGATGTTTCATCCCTGCTCCATTCCTGGAAATGTTAACTACTCTGCTGTGTGCACCATTTCCAAAATGTGACACGTCCCTCTGCAGCTCAGATCTTTCTGAAGGGCTTTGTTTCTCTTGCTTTCCATGTGTCAAAGTTCTCATGCTCCAAACAACTAATATTTTATTTCTCTGTTGGCTGGATTAATTACTTTCAAAATGGACTGTACTCCTCTGATTGCCACAGCATCAGTGAGTTCTTGCCAAATTAATTTTCTGTTTGTAGATGGTCCATTAAGTACAATGGAAAGCCTCTGTCCCCCAGGCAGAAATGCAAGCAGCACATCAGCTCCTGTTTTGCTGTGTTGGAACAAGCAAATAGAGAATAAATACATCTGCCATCAGGTTGAATCCAGGCAGTTTTCCAGTTTGTCTTGAAATGATCAACAGACTGAAAACACTTCACTTTGCTTCCGTTGGCCTTTTGAATTCACCTGTTGAAAACAGATAATGGCAAATGCATTTTACATAATGTCGAACAAAACAACATTACTGATGATCCTTGCCCCAAATAAAAAAAAATCTTTATCCCTAAAAATAAAGGAAGCCCAGGTGAAGGGCTATAATAACTTAATAAAGCACTCTCTGTGAAAAAACTGCCACTCCCTGGAGCTGAACTCTCATTATCATACAGCAGAGACAGTGGTGGGTTCTGAAATCATGTAAAGTGTTCTTAAGGCATTAAATAATTTTCACTTTCAGTGGCAGGTAATTTACATTACTTCCTCAGCTTCTGCCTGCTTAGGGGCCAGCACAATAGCTTGTGCTCTATGCTAATCTATTCAAATGCTGGAATAAATTCAGGAGTGAAAAAAGTAACATAACCTCTTCATATTTCTAAACCTGTTTTACCATCTACTTTAGTTTCTTTTACAATCTTTAATCTCTGCCAAGGTCAGGCATGGCAGCAACTCATGCTAGAGCAGCTCAGCAGCTGCTGCAAGTTTTAAGCCTTGCAAGAATGTGTTTCTCAGAGAGGCCAATGCTGCTTTGTTATATATATTACTGCAATTTATTTGGTTTGATCCTGTGAAGAAAGCTGGTCACAAGCAGCATGGAACGGTGCTTTCTTACAGCCCAAACAATGGTAACAGTTTCCTAGAAATATTTCTGCTTTGTGACCTGTTTTGAGCTGGAGAGATGAAAACAGAGGAAACTTGTGGCTGGCAACATCTTGATGAAAACTTGGATTATACCTTCTTTTTTTTTTTCTCCCCCCAAGACTAAAAACATGTTCACCTCTTGCAGAAAAATTCCTCTAATACTGTGTAACAGGACCACAGTAGTTGTGTGGTACCAAGCAAGAGAGGAGATGACAAAATACAACCAGAGCTGTTGCACAGACCTTTTGTAAAATTGCCCCACTGCTGAGAAGCAGAGGTTTCCTGGGCTTTTGTTTTCCAGACCATACGTGCAAAAAGTCCTGGGAAAGGGACAGTGAAATTGCGATTGAGCTTTTCAAATTTTTACACCTGCAAGATGTAATAGAAATAACACTGAAATCAAAATGTCCCGGGGTTTCCTCAGAAATGTGGTTTCCTGCAGGCACGTGAAGTGCTGAGATCAGTGAGTGGAACACACTCCCAGCCCAGCTGGTGTCAGAAGGACAGGCACTGTGGGCACAGCGTTTGCCTGTCAAGGTCCTGAACAGAATGAGGTGTTCATTCCCCTTGGAGGACATGCCAGACTTGTCCATTTTCATGTTGGCTTCTCACTTGCCTGTTCCTGCCTGAGCCTACAGCCATATCCTTGGCCATCCATATGGCCTTTTTCTCCTGTTAGATCCTTGCTGGAAACATCACTTTGATAATCCTGTGACTTTGCTTTTATTACTGTTCTTATATTTAAATACTGAATAAACTGAAATTGCTTTCTTGATCGCGGAGAGAAGAAATAAAAAATAATTGAGGTCTCAGTGAGGTAGAGAGGTAAACACTTTTGAGTAGTATGGGTAGTTTCTAAGTGGTTTTGATGCTGGCTCCAAATGTGCTCAAAGTGGGGGATGAATTACCAAACCATAACTTGCTGTGTATTGGCTCCAAAGTGCCTCAGCTGGGCAGGACTGGGTTTGTGTGCACTGATCTGATGGGCTGTGCTTCAGACACGTTGCATCCTCCTGGCACAGCTGAAGTACCTGTGGAACACATCCTGGCCAGCTGTTCCAGCTGTACAGCTTACATGTACTATTCCAGCCGGGGTTCTGGATGTGTGGAAACTCTTTACATGTGTCTAGAGCGCTCATTTATCCAGGACAAAGTTTTCAAGGGGAAAAGGATAATATAAGGGTATTTCTTGATATGATTCTTTCCTGCCCACTGTTTCTAGTGTGGATTTTGATTTGGTTGTGGAGTTGTTGGAAAGCACATACTGCCACTGTCCTGGCCCTCTTTGTGACTGGGACTGCAACAGCCTCATTAGTGGTCCTGGGCTTGAAAGTCTGGAAAGATGTCAAAGCTGGTGTTGGAGGTGAGCATGCCTGGCAAGTCCCCTGTGAACAATGTTCCCTTGGCAGAATGGATGTTAATGCTAAAAGTTTGCAAGTGGGACAAGGTGGTAATTTGTCATTTTGCCTTTTTAAGCATCTGCACTTACAGGACAGGTTGCTGAAAAAGCAGAGTTAGTGACAGAATTTGGCTGTAAGATCCCAATTCATTAGTTTTACGTTAATGGAACAGTGACTGGTCTAATTGAATTTCTGCTGAGTTGTCCCACGAGGAAGTAGAGGTCATTATTATTTTTGTGTATAATGCAGAGGCTCAAGGAGGTGAAATCTCTTAAAAACTCCAATATACATATTAATGTCATTGAGATTTTGAAATTGTTATAATTATTAGTCTGAAGCTCCTATTTTGATGGTGTCTGAGCATGTGTATGGATATTATGTGTGCATACACCTATAAACACACAGGTACACTATTGCCCTTCTCAGGTGTGGTTTTCTCTATATTTAACTTACTATTGGCAAAGGTTTAACTTTAAATACTCCTTCACCTTTTTTAATTTTAATTAAGAATTTTTACTGTGTTGATATATCCCATGAATGCCATTAATCTGTTTTGGAGTTGGCAATATTTGGTATGTTGGGTAACACAGTACCTGTATCCAAACAAACCAACTGGTCACCAAGCTTTTACAGTAAGTTACTTGCTGTTTTGTGGTTACTTGAAGAGTCCATAACCTGAGAAGGAATGAGAACTTAATCCTTCCATTATACCTTAGTTTTTCTAATTTCTGATTTCTCTAATTTCTTCCAACTTTGCAAAAGTTCTTCACTGTTTAGTGAGGAGTGAAATAACCTTTAGCCTGAGTAGTTCAAATGAACGAGACAGTAGAACTGCAATACTTTGATACTTTTTAGAAATTATAAATAACTGCTGCCTTCAGTTAAGATCAATTGTGTCCACATGGACTAAGATTTGGGAATCAATTCTATTAATAATTATTATTGGCAATGCAATTTACTCAGAAATTTAATAGCAATGCTCCAAATATCCATAATGTTACCTCTTGATGGTGTGTTCCCTCCCATCAAAAAAATCAACTGTAAATCTTTACTTTCAAAACAACCTGAAAACACTTTTAGCTATTTCAAATATTTAAATTAAATCTGTAAGTATTTATAACTTGCTAGTTGACATGGCACATGTTATATTTTCTAGTGGAAACATAAGGCATGAGATTCCCAGCTAGGAATGTCAGAGTATCTGATGGAAAAATAGCAATACATTCCTGCTTGACTGTGTTAAAGAATAAATGATGCCAAAAGCAGAAAAAGAAGGGACACAAGTCTGGACCAGCTGAGCTTGTTTGTGAGTCTGCTTCCAGTGCTTGATGGTGCAGTTCCTGCACACATTTGAAGAGATTATAAATAATCCATGTTTTATCTCGAAGGAAAGAAAACTCTACAGAAAGCAGTGGTGTCATATAACTTTAGTATGAAAAAATTCTGATTAAAAAGAAGTTCAGAATACCAAAAATGATAGATAGACACATGTTCTTCGGATTTGTCAATGACCACAGTCACCTTGAGCTTTCAGTTTTGAAATGGTCAAATTACATGAAGTTCCTGTTGGAGCTTTTCAGGAAGACTTCCATTGTCTTTTATACGTTGTTGAGAGTTTGGGATTCTTTTGCTTCTCAGTTGTTACAAACCTCTGTGTTTTTCTCATTCATGAGTATCAGTGGCACCATATTATTTAGAGCTAAAGGATATTTGCACTGGTGTAACCTATGAGAAGGTAATCAATGATTAATGAAATTTAGCTGTCTTGATTTTGGAGGTGTAAGTACAATCTTCTGTATATGTGGTGCATACGTATTTATGGATTATTGTAAAATAATGTGAACTGATAATTTCACATAATAAGAGAGAGAGAGAGGGGATGGAGGGAGTATCTTAAAACCAAGTGTTCTCGAGAAAGCCATAAGGGAATCCTTTTAAGATCAACAATTACATACATCATGGAAAACAGCATATTTACAGACTTGGCAGCTGCCTAAAAGTAGTTTAAAACAAAGAACAAGAAGAAATGGGACCCTTTTTCAATATAAAAATACTGACTTTGCCACAAAGCAAATGAATATTGTGCTTGATTACTAAAGAATATTATTAAAGTAATATTTCTCTATTACTAACAGAAATGTGAATGAACATAGAAAATATCATCTTCATAGTGGAAAAAAACTCAAAGAATTTAGTACTTCTGTTCTGCGGGAACTGGATAGATACTATTCAGAATATACAAAGAAGGTCAAGGAGCAAGTTGTTTTAAGTCTGACTTGGTATCTAGATGAGTGGAATATAAAAAACCTCACAGTCTATGTTCAAATTTAAATAATCCAGGCAACACAAAGCAAATATGCATAAATACATACATATGTATACATACATATATGTAAGATGCTACATCCCAGAGGATGCTGTTGAAAAGGAAGGAGGCTCTTCTGGAGCAGTGGTAGGAAGGTGACAGATTTAAAGGCCCAGATTGCACTGTGGCTCCAAGATTTTGTCCTGCAGTGTCAGCTCCAGGCTGGGTTTTGTTCTCAGTGCCTTATTGTTGCAGACCTCTCTCCAGATTTATGGAGCAGTTGCAAACACAGAAACCCCAGCTCCTCCACTCCCCCAAAATTCCAACCCAAACCCCTCCTGTGTTTTAGTGTTTCTGACAGACCATATCCTCACCATTTTTATTTGCCATGTTCTTAAGGTTTTGTAAGTAAAAATTAGGTAAATGTGCTTCTATTCTGATTTAAAAGAGCCCCTGAGAGCACTGAAAAACTACCACTTGGACAGAAATTCAGTCTTTTGGTTGGCTGCCCATGGGCTTTCAGGAGAACACTGCTGCTGTTCTGGAGGAAGGGTTGGTGTGGTAGTGAAGATTTGTGTAGTACAGAATAATGAAGATTTGTGTAAAACAAAATAGTGAAGTGCATGAAGAGCATGTTAGAGAGTCCTGAAACAGAGCCAAAAAGGGCATTTAAGAGATGGTAAGAATGTTACTGCTGGATCACCTCAGTGAGCTGTTTCAGAGCTAGTCTTATCTGGTTTTCATTGCTGACCTTAGACCATGAAATTAGTCTATGCTAGTCAAAATGTCCTTTTAAAGTCAGGAGGGGATAATCAGTATAGAACAGGATTAGAATCTTCCATAGGGAAAACAGAAAGATCTGGAGGGGAGTAGCCATGAGGAGAAGTTCAGTCCAATAGAATGTGAGCTCATAAAACCAATTATGGGTGACAGGGAGCATCTGTGAGTCACTTATTGATCAGCTGAGGTGGACTGTGTGAGGAAAACTTGGGCAGGAGCTGCAGCAAGGGAAGAAGTTATAGCTGGAGTGTGATGTACAGCTCCATATGTTTTCCAAGAAGGGAATCACAGACTGCAATGAGTACAAAGAAAAACAGATGCAGTTGCCCTGTGACTACAGTGGTCATTAAGGATTAATTTTTAAAGCACAGGAGTATTCTGTGTCACTTCATGTTTATCAGTAGGTAACAAAGTCAGTGCATCCCATACATTTATATGGTGCTTAAGTTGTTTGCCTTCATTATTTATTAAAACATTTGGGGTTTTCTGAATACATTTTTCCTGCAGGTGTGAAGTAACTGTAATAAATTACTGTTTGAATGAATATTTATAATACAACACTGCTCTCAGTGCTGCAACACTTTATATTAGCCATGCTGGTTCTTAGAGCTTCCACGTGTATTTTACTAATACACAGTTGTCTTACATTAAACAGCTCATGATAAATTCAACTGTTTATTCTCTGAGTTGAAAAGAGTCCTCCTCTTTTGTAATTCAGGGATATTAAGGGTACATCCTTCTAGACTGATGAAGGGAAATAACCCTTTTTTTTCTAGTGTTCTGACATAATAGTCAATACTTTATTTAGTTGTCCACTTTATTATCTCATGTGCTGCTTGCACCGGGGTCCAGGGCATGGGAAAGCAAATTCCTCGATTCTGCGACAATATTATTTTTTGAATCAAAGACATAAATACGAAGAAGGAGAGAACTAAAAGCACAAACTCTGCTCTGTTTACCTGTGTCATCTATAAGAGTCAAGGGATGTGAAACAGTTGTGTTCACCACCATGGGTGAATTGCAGGTAAATCATTTTGGACACTGGAGGGGTGATTTCCCAGCTGCTTTATTGCTCACAAAAGATAAGCAGCAGAATCCTCCTGTGGTCTTGGTAATGTGATGTCTGTGGGATTGAAAGCTCACAGTGCTGACTAATATGATTAGAAAAGTACTGCTAGGTCTGCTCTAATACCTTTAATCATCAGGCAGTTGTCTACACGTGGAAACAGCAAATTTATAAATAAATAAAAATAAGAACAGCAAAGCATAATGCTTAAGGCTCTTCTGTGAGGTTTGAAACTAAAGATAAAACCAGAATAAATACACTGCAGGTAGCTACCTGCCTGTGTGCAAAGGTAAATTATAGGAAAAGAAAAAATACAACAGTTAAATTTCATCAAGGCATAAATGCCTTATGACTAGGGTATAAATGATAATCACGAGTCAGGGAAGACTCAATATTTTGCAGTATTTAGCAAGATCACCTTTGTAATTGGATTCACAGCATTAAGGATACCGTGTAGTGTTGGATCAAAACCATATTCAGATCAGTAAGCTGCCCCTAAAACTTTTGAGTTTTGTTCAGCCCTTGTAAGCCATGAGTTCATGGGTAAGAAGTGCAAAGGTGTCAGTGTGGGTGCCCAACTGCCTGCATGTCACCTCATTACTTGGTGATCCCTTGTAGCTGCACTGAATGATGGCTCTAAATGTTCACAATTAGCATCACAGGTGGAAGGAAATCTGCCATAAATAATCTCCTAACAATATCAGAGACTGTAATTTTCCAGCTATGAGCAGAACTGCTCCCATTTGGCGTGTGCTGTGATGAAGAGGAGCAGGAGACAGGCATTTACTAGTTCTGATGTTCCCTCCCACTCTCCAAGCACAGTGGGAATGATGGATCACCTCCAGTGCCATTAGCTCTGCCTGAAGGAGCAAGCTAATGCAAGGGAAATTAGGGAGCCTGGGCTGGATCCAGGAATGGACCAAAAGGCATAAGGTAGCACTTAGGAATCTTCACGCTGGCTCTGCCAAAGGTGATAACACCACAGAAGGTGGGGATGGAGCACCACATCCCCCCCCACACCCATCAG